GAATCTGTGGATGTTCATTTTAGTGTGAGAAGATATTCATTCATCCAGCCCTCAAGGTCAGGCACCGTCCTGATGCTGAGGTGCAGAGTCACAATGCCCACCCTCAGGTGTTCGCACTTGAGAGTCGGGGCAGAGAACAAGTCACCTGTAACAGTCACAACACAGCAGGATGAGTGTGGCAATAGAAGAGTATTCTTTTATGTGCAATAGGAGCACAGAGGAAAGGGCACACTAATTCTGGGTAGATGAGTCACAGAGAGAACATTTTAGTTGGGTCTTGAAGGATGAGAAGGAGTTTTCCAGAGGATGAGGTGAAAGGGGGCATTCCAGGCAGAATGGGAAATATTTGCTAAAATTTAGAGGCTTAAAGCACCGTGGCCTATTTAGAGGGCTTGAATTGTTTTCTGTGACTGGAATTTGGGGTACGAGATGCAGGGGGTGAGAAATCAGAGGAGGCTGCTGGGCTGAGGCTGCAGTGAGGTTGGGACCCACTACGGTGACTGCTCCAGGGTGCTGCTCCCAGGGACCCGCGGCTGCAGCAGTTGTTATGTGGAGACCAGGATTGAGCTAAATGAAGCGCTTCATTTAGCCAAACCCGCAGCCTCTGCCTCCGTAACAAGGAAAGGAGGTCGTGTCTCTCACTCGATGAGGTCTTATTTTCGGGAAACACCGTACCTCCAGCTCAAGCAGCCTAATGTTCTGGTCACAAGGAGTTTCCCAACAGCAACCAAGGAGGGAAAGAGTATGACCCAGAAAAGTACAATTCAGAAGCCAGAAGCCAAGGAAAGAAGCATTAGATTCTAGAGTGGGGCACAGAGGCCCCCCGACCCCAGAAGCCATACTGGTGGCCCTCTGAGGGTCAAGCTGAGAGGACCCATTCTCTCCCCCCTCCCCCGACCGAGGGGGGATGGAATCAGTTGTGAGAGAAATGGGGAAAGGGGGGGGGGGGTGTCGTGCCAGAGTAAGTGCCTGAGGGAAGTGATCCGTGATCCGGAACGCTGGAGTCTCCCCACGGGAGCAGGGGCAGGTGGACAAGTGCCGGCACTAGATGTTTAAAAAAAAAATGTCCTTTCATGAAAGAAAGTCCAGATCATCCAACCAATGCGGCAGATCGTGGCCACGGGATTCTTTCCTTCTCCTTTGCCATGCTCTGAGCACAGAAAGGGAAGCAGCCACACGCGGCTCGGCTGGTAGGGAGAAGCGGCTGGGCCTCAGAGGAAGGAGGAGCAACGCCGAGCCACGCCTGGGACCCAGAGCAAGCAGAAAGTCTGGAGAGAGCCCTGGAGCATGTGTCAGAGGCAAAGAATGGCTGAGCAACTGTGCGGACACATAGCACCAAGGGAGGGAGTAAAGAAGGAAGGAAGGGAGGGAGGGAGGGGTAAAGAGAGACTGTAGACTTAAAGAACCAGCTGGGGAACAACAAATCTATTGAAATATACCACATGTTACATACCGATAAGAATTACGGTTATCAAACAGACTGTGATTACGGTAACGTAAATGTACACGATGTGAAAATAACTATATTAGTTTCCTATGGCTGCCGTAACAAAGCACCACGAAGTGGGCAGATTTAACCAACAGCAGTTTGTAGTTCTTGTGGCTGGAAGTCTGAGGTCTGGCTAGGCTGGTTCCTTCTGGGTGCTTGGAGGGAGACTCTGTCCGCGCCTCTCGCCGGCTTCTGGCCGCTGCCGGCAGAGCTTGGCGCTCCTGGGCTTCCAGGAGCACCGGTCCAGTCCCTGCCTTTGTCTCCACATTGCTTTTGTGTATCTGCGTCCAAATTTCCCTTTTTTTGAGGACATCAGTTGCTGGTTTAGGACCCACCTAATCCAGTATGACCTCGTCTTAACGTGGTTACTTTTGCAAAGACTCTCTTTCCAAATAAGATCACATTCACAGGTACTAGCAGCTAGAATTTGAGCACATCTTTTGGGGGGACTTAATGCAACCAACAATAACATAACTTCCTAAAACTGAGAGGAAGAAAGGGGGAAATGAAAGCAGTGTGAGAATGCTGATATCCTCATCTTTCTTTGGAAGGAGACAATCCATACACTCTAAAATTGAGACACAAATTGTGTCCATGTTTGTGCATGCATATATAAAATCCCAAACTGTTAATGTTACCAGTAATCTCTTTTCTTATCCTTAGAGAAATAATCTCCTTTTTGGCAAAGAAACATTTATTTAAGCCTCAGCAACTTCAGTTTATTTTTGTTCTTTTACAAAATAAGTAAAATTTAAATGTAATGATTTTTATTCTTTTAGAGACTACAGTGACTACTTAAGAGGTTGTTCAATTAAGCAATTGTAATACTAACTTCCTCCCTGACAAGCACCAAAATCATCAGAAAGCATGTGCCTACGCCAGTCTCGGTCAGATTGGAAGCTGCCGCAGTGGACCTGGCACATAGTTGCTACTTAATAAATGTTTGCTAAATTGGATTGTTTTGTTGCTAATTATGTAGAGCAGATGTGTCCAGATCCTACCCTCCAGAACTTGGTGCCAGGTGTTGAGTTATGTGGTGTTTAATATTCAAGGACTACATTTTTTCATTTCTCTTTCACATAAAACAGTCTAACTCTGGGAAAGGAATTCCAGACATAGGTGAGGGGGAAAGGGCACGTTGTCCTCAGATGAGCTGACCCTGCGCCCCGGGAAAAATGCATCCCTTCTTTCTTTCTGGAATGTGTTTTGAACCCCCTGCTTTAAAGTCATATTCTCAGACAAAATAGTGACTCCGTCCTTAGACAGCAGAGCCTGCTGGGGAACAGCCAAGGGTGATGTGTGTCGGCGTCCTGGGCGCAGCGCCTGTCCCTGCGGAGGGCGTGATTGCTGCTGGCGAGCGTGACCCACTCGGAGAGGCACGAACTCTGCGGCTGACGGGTGCTCGCAGGCGTGGGCAGCGTCCGCAGTCAGCTGTGCCCGCCCCTGCGCCGCCCACGCCCGCACACCTGCAGCCACCTGGAATGCAGCAGCCGTGACTCGGCCTTAAATAAAAGACCAGTGAAAACCAACGTACGCGCGGAGACACTGGCCTTAGCTCCTACGAACAGGCTCTTGGGAAGGAAAATCAGGGCCATATACCTCTTGCCTCTTTCTCTGTGTCTACCTGTTGTGCATGTGTCCCTCCCGCCGTCCTTCTCCCTCCTTTGCACCGGGGCAGTCAGCATTCTGCCCTGTCACAGCTGCCAGGCCAGGCTTGCCGCCCTTCTGCCGGTGCAGCCTCGGCCCATGGTGGGCCTTGGCCTTGGCCTCTGGCCAGAAATGCCCCTTGGTGGACTTTGGCTTTGGCTCATTTTTGCCCCAGTCAGTTTCCTTTTTCCTCCTCCCTGGATGTCATTTAGGGCCTCTCCTGTGTCCTGCCACCCTGGGAGTCACAGAAAGGCACAGCACAGGCTTGGAGTCCTAGCGGGCCACCAGTGGAAGGGTGCACTGAAGAACACTGTCCCTTGTAAGGGTCAGGAAGCAGCTGCTGAAGGGCCGGGCCTGGAGCCGGCGGCACAGGGAGGATGGCCGCACCCCAGGCAGTGTTCCGTGTGTCCAGGTTTGGCTTCGTTACCTAACTCTGCAAACCGATGGCTGGGGGTAAAAACCAGTAAGTACTCATTGGCTTTCTTTCCTAGCCGTCGAGTGGCAGAGGTTTCCAGCTGACTGGACCTCAGAGACCACCGTGCCCAATTTTCCTCTCCAAGGAGGAGACAGGGACACCCACGACAGGTTATGGCCCCAGGGTCACGTGGGCGGGCGGGGTCCCAGGTGCTGGTCCTAGGCTACTTTCGTGCTTCCTTGAAGGGCAGCCTTGAGTGCCACCATCTGGATTTCTGATGCTGTCAGTCACTTTGCTCTGCAAGGCCGTGGTCTGCGTCAGCCACTGACCGCCACACCAGTGGAGACCACTGTTCAGGAATGGAAACTCCATTCCACTTGGCAGTGACGGAGGTGGCGCCACAGCCAGGCGCGCGGGGTAAGCCAGGGATAGACACAGGATAGACCAGGACAGAGCTCCATAATCGGCAATTCCCGGGGGATTACAGGGATTAGGCTCTCTACATGCCACTCTATTACAGCTCAGTAGCAGAGGACAGAAAAAAAGGACCTCACACAGGAAGATTTTGAAGCAGTAATGAACAATATAGCATTTTGAACATTTGGGTCAAAAAGCAAAATGGTCTCACTAAAATGATCTTTTTAGACCTTGTGGAAATCTCTGCAGAAAAACTATCTCCCTGGGCACCCATTAATTCAGCTCCTCCGGCTGGCAGTGAAGGGCCGGGGCAGAGGGGGGAGTTGAGGGAGGGGAGAAAGAAGAGAGAGTCCAGAATTTCACACCAGGAAAACAAGCGTGGTCAACTTTCAAATGCTAACATAGGAAATATTTAAATAAAAGTTGGCCTTTTGCTAAAATGTATCTCTCATCTTTGAAATGACATTTTCTTCTCTGTCGCTCTGCCCAGAACTTTGAAGTCGCCTTGGATGCCGGCTTTCTTGCTTTCCTGGTGTCAGGCTTGCTAACACCTACCCTGAAGCCCTGCCTCCCTCCGTTCACAGCTCCCAGCAGCTGCCAGCCATGCCCTCTCCACGCCAGGCTCCCTGGACCCACAGGGTAAGACCCCCCATCTTCCACGGCCCTTCACAGAAGCTGCCGGTCACGTCCCCAGCAAGGCACGTCATAGGGCTGCCCCTCTCTCCTGGAACAGACCTGGCACGGCCCCCACAAAACCCCGGCTCGTGATAACACACACTGTGCATTATGAAGAGTATATAATAAGCTAATAGATGGCAATATTCAATTTGACATATTTAATACACTGATACATTAACACTACTATATAAATTAAAATGTAATAATATCAAATATGTGTTTACTAATAGATTATTAGACAATATATGATATTACATATATTATAATAATATCATTATAATTACATATAATATATTATAATCTAATAATGCATTATTCATTATTAAATATTAATACATAATAATTAGACTGGTATGTAAAATTCCATATGTGGGTATGTGCTATATAAGAGCAACACATAGTATGCTCTTTTTCTGGGCCAGCTACTCCTCCAAACACTTGGCATGCGTCATGATCTCTACTTTCCACAGCAGCCCTATGACGTTGGTGCTGCTATTGCCTGAGTGCTCAACACCACTCTGCCGTTCAGCCTCCGCCTGCCCTGAGTCCCCACTGCAGGTGCCTCACTCGCCCCTGCTCAGTGGGAGTGGCTCTCTGGTGCTGAGCAGCTCCCAGGTCCTGCCTTCTACCTCGGAATGAGACACGGCTTGGCACCCCCTACTGGGCAGGAAGCCACCAGGGCCAAGGGCAGGGGCAGGGGCAGGCCTCGCTCCTCTGGTGTCTGCAGCCTGGGAGCTCGTCCTGTGCCGTCACATGGGATGACGTGAGTCTCCTACAGGCAAGCTGACCCTTACTCTTGACAGCTGACGTCTACACAGACGGGCAGTTCATAGCTTGGTGACTGTTCTCTGCCACGGAGTTAGCTGGGCCGCATCTTTATGGTGGTTGTCAGACCCCCAAGTTGAGTTAATTTGCTCATGACACAGAAGTTCCACCAAAGACAGTCGACAGGTGGCCGGTGTGTGGGGGCTGGCTCCTGACCCGGAAGCTCCCAAACTTCTCAGACTTCCTGATGAAAAATTGTGGCCCACCCAGGCCACCCAGGTGGCACTTGCCCCACACAAGCCATGGCGAGTCACATCTGGTTCCACTGTCCGACCACCTGGCAGGGAGGATGAGCTCACTTCCAACACCTGTCCAGTGGGGGCAGTGACGGGACCTCACAGGACACCGAGCACAGGCGAACCTCCTGCCACTGCCACACCGCCTCCTTCAAGGACGCCTCAGTGCCGCACAGAGGCCTTGGAGCACAGCCGTGCTCCTGGCAGCTCTTCCCCTCGCTGCGTCCTCCTCAGAGTCAGCTGGACACACACGGGCACCCCTGTGTGAAGTTTTATACCATTCAGACCCGTCTAGGGGAGCCGAGTGCTCCCCCAGCTTCCCTGCTCCCTGCCCGTCCAGCCAGGCTTCCGCACTGCAGTCGTCCCGAGCGAGTCCACTCTGGCCCTCAATTTCTATTCCTCGACCAGAAAACAAAGGCGCCCACAGGGAGTGGGCCTGCTTCCCCGAGAAGGCACTCTGGCCAGCCCATCGAAGTGGGGAGGTCTCACCCTCCACCACAGCCAGCGTCCAACCACGTCGATCTCTCTGGCCCACATCTGAGTAGATTAATGTCACTTTTCTTTTCCTCGTCACATTGCTAGGACAGTGGGCGTCTTAGGTCTGGCTCCACAGAAGCAGCTCCTGAGAGCAGGATATGTGTGCAAGCGATTTACAGAGGCAGTTCTACTGGGGACATCCACAAAGCACCGGGGACAGCACAGCAGGATGCGAGGGATGCGAGGCCCCTGCCCCTCCTCGGAGTTCATCCCATGTCAAAGCAAGGGACCCAGGCTATCATACTCCTCCACCAATTAGTCATTGCCAAGGACAGCCCCTGAGGGGTTGTCACTCCCAGATACCTTCAGAGCTCCATGGGTGAAGGCCTGGTGGCTGCAGGTGCCCAAGGGTGGGCAGGACATAGGTGCTGACCATCAGAAACAAAGCACAAGGATGCCAGGTGTCTTCACCCATTTTGTGTTGCTAGAAAGAAATATCTGAGGCAGGTAACTTATAAAGAAAAGAGGTTTATTTGGCTCATGGTTCTGCAGGCTGGCCTAAATGCACGGTGCCAGCACCACTGCTCTCGAGGCTCAGGTGCTGCGACTCATGGTGGGAGGCAAAGAAGGGCCAGCGTGTGCAGAGGTCACATGGCAAGAGAGGAAGCAAGGAGGGGAGGTGCTCGGCTCTTCACCACCAGCTCTCATGAGCAAGAACTCCCTCACGCCCAGGGGAGGGGACTCATCTATTCGTGAGGGATCCGTGCCCACGACCCAAACACCGGCAATGGGAGTACAATTTCAACACGAGGCCTGGAGGGGACAAATATCCAAACCATAGCACTGGGGCTTGGGCACACAGGAACAAGAAGAAGGAGCTACAGGACCCAGGTGGAGCACAGTGTCCATTGCAGTGGCCCACAATGAGTGGCACTTTGGGCTATTGCTGTCTAGCTAGGCCACTCCTTAATCTGGCTGTGCCAAGATTTGGGGGTCAAACCTAGTAGGATCCAATTATAACCCTGGCATCATTACGTAATCCAGGTGAGCCTCAATCTCTCTCTCTCTCTCTCGCTCGCTCTGTTATACACACACACACACACACACACACACGCACACACACACACAAAGCACAACAGGACAGTCAGGAAATGCAGGACTTCATTCATCAAAGACCCCGAGTCCACTGGCCTGGGAGGGAGCCCCTCCTCTACCCACTAGGCCCCTGCCCCCCTGCTGCACCCTCTGCTGCTCCTTCCTGCTCCCACCTCGGCGATTCTGCGTTTGCTTGACAAGGAGCATCTGCTTCCATTTGTCCCTGACCTGCGTGTTGCTCTGGATGCACAGTGTTTGTCTGTGAGCCCTTCCCTGGGGCACACAGCTGCGCACAAGCCCTTCCCCTGACTCCCAGAGGCTGGCTTCCTCGCCACCCAGGGTGCGCACTGTGCCGGCGAAGCGTGTCCGTGCTAGGACTATGGGTTGTTCCTCACAGCTTTCCTGTGGCACCCGGCGGAGGCCCCGGCTGGAGGCCCGGCTGCCGGCCCTGAGGCGCGCGGCGGCTGCACACAGGAGGCGGGCTCGCTGTAGGAGCGGCCCGCCAGCGTGGAGCCCACCGGGCCCCTGCCGAGGAGCGTGAGTTCGCTTCCCACATCTGTCGAATGGGCGTGGTGGGGCACCTCCACATCAGGCTGTTCTGAGGAAACCCTGCGAGCAAGTGCACGGCGCCAGGCCGGCCGGGGCCGGGAGCCCTCCGCCAGGGGTGGCCGGGCTCGGCAGCAACGCCAGCGCTCTTGTCACTGGGGGACCGGCCCGAGAAAGCTGTAGGAAGATTTCCTGTTGGCGTTGAAAATCAAAATAAAATATCATTTTCTGGCCACTGACACTAGGGAAACCCAAATCCCAGGAGGAAGCCCCATTCCTGCACATTCTCTAGCTCAGCACGCCCAACGCCCAGTGAAACCGGCTGATTGGACACTGCAGGAAGAAGGGACCCGTGGCCATGGCTGCCTGTGTGCCACCAAAATAATGGAGATTAATTAAGGGAATCAAAAATAATATTGACTTCCGTGGATTAATTAATGGATTTATATTCTTCTGGGTTTTGGGACAATGTGTTAAAAGGCAGAATCAAGTTCAAAATGGCTAAAAGCAGGAAGGAGTCCATGCCTTTTAACATTTCTTCACCCTATTCACTAACCGAAACTTTCTTTTGTTTTAGTTTTCCTCATGAATAATTTTAAATTTACAAAAGAGTTGCAAGAATTCCTATATGCTCTTCACCCAGATCATTACTAACATTTTGCCACGTTTGCCTTATTATTGCTATCTAAACTTATGTGCATATTGTTATTTTTCTGAACTATTTAAAAGCTAATGGCAGACACCATGCCCCTTACCCTTAAATATCTCAGCATGATTTTTATAAGAACAAGTATTCTTATATAACCAGAGTACAATGATCAAATTTAGGTAATTTAGCATTGATATAGTACTATGATATGGACTACAGTCCATATTCAGTTTTCATCAATTGGCCCATTAATGCTCTTTATGGATGTTTTTCCCCGATCCAGAATCTAAGCACAGTGCATGTAGTTTTCACGCCTCCTCTGTCTCCTTTGACCTGGGGAAGGGCTTCAACCTTTCCTTATACTTAAAGATACTGAAATTTTTTAAGAGTACAGGCCCCTTCCTTTAGAGAATGTCCCCAGTTTAATTTTGTATTAATATAACATCTCCTCACAATTTGATTTAGGTTATACATTTTTGTCTGAAATCCTACATTCAAACCACAGCAGTCCTGTTGTTGGGAATGATAACTTCTCTCACTTGGTAAGGTGCGGTCTGCCAGACTTCTTTGCACATCATTGTTTTAAAGAAGAAGTCAACTTCTTTCTTTAAATTGTTTTAAAGAAATCAACTATGTTTTAAAGATTTGAGTCTCCATAAATAAACATATAAATTTAACACAGTCTCCCAAAATTTCCTAACAAATTTTCTTCCTTCAGAAGCAGGCAAGCAGATGCATTCAAAATAAAGCAAACATAGCCCAAGAAAACTCTAAAATAGAAGAAAAATGAAGAGGGATTGGTCTCCCCAGTTGTTAAAACCTGTCAGGAGGTCGTAGTAATTAGTACAGAATGAACCTTGAGTAGAGAGGTTGCCAGATAGAATAGAAGAGAAAGTCCAGAAATAGACCCCCGTGTACGCAGGAAATTGATAGGTAAATGTGGATACTGTCATCAGTGGGTAAAGGTGGACTTTAGCCCTGGAGCAATGGGTAGCCCTTGCGGAAAAGCAAAGTTGAAGCCACACTACACATAGTGCACCAAGATAAACTCCAGTGGATCAAAGTTTCACATTCAAAAAAAGTAAAACCATAGAAGTCCTAGAAGGTGTGGATCTCTTCCAATGCCCCCAACCCCCACAGAGCTCAGACCCACTCTCCTGTACCCTCAGCCCTGGAGGACCACCCTGTGTGGGGCCCATGGGGAGCTGGGACAAGACATGGGAGCGAAAGAGGGGAATGAGGACAGAGAACCAGATTTCCTGGGCTCCTCCTGCAGGTCTCTGTTTCTCCTGACAGATGCCCCACTCTCCTCTGGGCAGCCTGGTCTTCACAACTCTCCTTCCAGGCTGCAATACTTCTCTGTCACCATGTCCCTGGGGCATAGGGGTGATGACACCTCTCTTACTGCTAGATTCTGATTCCTGCACCACCCCATGGGAGTCCCCTAAAATTTGCCCACACTCCTACAACAAATCCTTATAGGATTTATGTAATTGGTCCCTTTGTACGTAAACCCCTCTTGAATTATCCTAATCTGAGTGTGCCATTTGCTTCCCATTGAGACCCTGATTGATAGAATAACCTTGGAGTAGGCTGGCATATCTAACTCTGTCTCAAAATCCAAAATCCATAAAGAAAAGATTAATAATTGTGAATACAATTTTTTTAAAACAAATCTGTATAGAAAACAAAAACCAAAGCAGAATACAATAAAAAGACCAAAACCACAAGAAATGTGTATAGCTCACGACACAGAAAAGGGCTTCTCGAAAACATGTGAATAGCTCCCAGAAATGAAAAATAGGACACAAAATCAAGAGGAAAATGGGCAAAGGTCATGGAAAGTTCAACAAATGGTCTGAAATACTTGCAAGCACTCATAATCAGAGACATGAAAAATTAAAAGTACACTAGAATACAATTTTTCCTTGATCAGACTGAGAAAATTCCGGAAGTGTGACACAATGCTCAGTTGGCTGGGCACTCGGGAAGCAGGCCCTGGTGCTCATTCTCAGTGGGACTGCAAAGTAATGCAGCCCTACCAAGGGCACTCGCCATCAAAATGTCAAATGTGTTCCCTATGACACAGCAACTCCACTCCGGGATCATATCTGACAAGTATGAACTGACATATGACAAGATTATTCACTGCAGCATTGTTTGTGATACTAAAAGCTTGGAAACCAGCCAAGTGCCCATGTCTAAGGGACCGGTTCATTCACAGTGGAAAGCCCTGGAGTGGCGGGCTTGGGGATAGCATAGACCTTGGTGCTTCTTGCTAGACTAATGGCTTAAGCTCGCTGAGCTGTAGTGTGCATCCACCGCACACGGGGATTTGAGTAGGACTCGCTGCGTAATGTTGTCGTTAGGACTGAGTTAGGTAATATACGTCCTTGGAAAGTGCTGGCTCATAGGAAATACAAGACACTGCCATTATTCTTACAGCTTTTAGGCAGATACGTTGAAAGTTAAGAATTTAATTGCCCATGTCAACCCTTTTACTGAAAATTCTCCCTGGAAAATGAAATTAGTGTCTCCTGAATAAATACCGAGACTTCTATTTTGAGAGGCACTGCTGAGGGCTCTTCGCTCTGCTGTGGCTCCATCATTTAATAAACCCCCATTAAGGACATGCAATGTCAAGACATGTACTTGATTCTCAACAAATGCAGCTCTAGGTGTTCTCTCTCTTCCCGTTTCTGCTCCTTCTTGTCCTCTTTCTCTGTTCGGCTGCTCCCTCCCTTTTCTCCTTTCTCACTTCCTTTTCCTCCCTTCGCCTCCCTTGCTCTTGGCTTCCAAATGATCTGAATGTTAAAAACAGAGGGGACTTTGAAAGACCATCAGTCCGATCCACTTGTCTACTCAGGTTGCAGATGAGCAAACCGAGGCCCGGAGGGAGCAAGCGTTCACCCCCACCCCCGCCGCCGGCAGCAGACAGGACCGGAGCCAGCGCCCCACAGGAGCCCTCTCCACCCATCCGCTGCCAGCCTTTCCCAAACCCGAGACCGAGGAGAAACACCGTTTCTCGATTCCTCATTGCGAGTTTAGAAAACAGACATGAGGCAGAAATGATTGTTTTCACTTGGGAGATTAGGTGCGATCACATACATGATACTTCTGGACCTGCTGTGGCAGACGCGTCCGTCAGAGAGACGGCAGGCAGTGCTCGGCGCGACCTCGCGGGGTGTGGCCGGCTGCCGTCTCACGGGACGGCCCGGCTTTACAGCCTGAACACCAGAAGCATTCTTCCGAGCAGGGCTCCTCTCCAGAGAGCCCTGGCTACTGTCTTGACTCCTCAGCCTGGAAGCTGCGGGGCAAGAACCAGATGCTAGAGTAGAGAAGGAACGGAGAGCAGTGGCAGCGACCATCCGCCGGGCCTCTGCTCCCTGCCAGCACGCGCTGCGGTGTCTACATACAGAGCAGGCGCCAATGTCACAGGGCACTGCCTCAAACGCACAAGAAAGGCCTGGTGCTCGCTTCTCTTTAAGTCCATTTTATCTTTGCCTTGAGCTGCATTCTGCTCAGAGGCAAAAAACTTAACTGTAATGACTCCCAAGGCTTCTCAGTCATTTCACATGAAATGCAGGCAATTCAGTGTTGGCTCTTTCTCCCCAAGCACTCGTCTAAGCTCTGAGTGACACGCACAGCCTTCAGTTGGGGAGACAAGGGTCCGGTCAAGGCCATCTCCTGCCTTGCTTCCATGCACGCTGGGTGCAGCTTCTCCTTGGGAGCTAGAATCAATCCCCACTGGCATCACCCGAGGAGCCCAAGGGCCTTGCATCATCTCACATGCTAGGTCTGTGCACGCTCATCTTCTTGTCCCCAATCTCAAGGCCCCTGTCGCTTCACAAACTCTCAGGTTTACTTCCACCTGTCTGGTCTTCTGGGTCCATGGGGAGATTGCTCTTCCACGCCTTTGATGTTGGGAGGACTTCTGGCACGTTCCGACTGATAAAACGTGAGCAGCAGTGATGTGCGGCTCAGGCACACGGTGGTGTGCCCATCTCCCCGGGGCCATGGATGAGGACAATGTGGAGCAGAGACAAGGTGGACATGTAGCAAATGTCGTTGTTTTCAGCCATTGAGATTGGGCAATTGTTTTTACCTCCTGATTTAGGGGGGAATGAAGTTTTAGAATCTTCTCATGTGCCCCTGGGAGCCATGGGGTATGGGAAGGTTCTTGGGTGCCCTCGGTGCCCAGGCTGCATGGCCACCACGTGTTCTCTGGTGCTGCCCCACCGTGGCAGGGGGCTTCTCTACAAGGTTTGCTGCAATCTCAGACCTCCTGGGAAGTGGAGCACGAGGTCCCCAGACTCTGAAATTCCCAAACATTTCTGAGGCTTCAATTATTTACTACCCCTTCCTACCAGAGGCTTGCTTTACAAAGTGAAAAGAGTGGAGGGGCGAGGTGGAGTCGACCCAGCCAGGACCCAGTCCTCTCGTCCCGTCTGCGCCAGCTGTCCAGACGCTGGCCTCGTTCCAAAGAGCAAGTCAGCCGCTAGCCAGCGATTCTCCCTGACGCACCGTCATGGCCCAGCATCACAGCTGGGCCCTCAGACAGCAACCTTCCTCGAGTCTCAAGCTCACACTCTTGCAAATCAAAAGCCTTTCTCTCAAAGCGTCATCTCTTAGTTTCCTTTTTCTTGGCAGTTTCTTTTTAAAAATTATCAATGAAATACATTTACATAATTAAAATCAAATAGAACTATAAGTCTTGGGATGAAAAACGGCACCTTTAACTCTTAGCTAATTTATACCTGTAATTCTAAATAATATCATCAGACTATTATTTCTTGACTCGTCAACTGCAGACATTATCCACCGGCTCCGGCTGCAGGAGCGGCGCTGTAGCGTCTCGCACCGCCTCGCCCCGCCGCCTCCCAGCGCGGCCAGCCCGGCCGCCCGCACCCGCCTCGCCGCCAGGAACGCTGATCTAATTCATCCCTCATGCTTCTTTTTAATTTTTTCCAATGATCGTTATCATTTTTGAAGCTAATCAGTTTTTTTGTTTGCTTGGTTTATTAATTCTTCCGAAAATCTTCAACAGAATTATAAAAACCCTCTGAATATGACTGTCTACCTACCATTTTTGCTCCTCGGCTCCTTCTCTCCTAAGCCCCGTCCTGCTGCTGAGGGCATGCCCGCCCACACAGCCTCGGACTGGGCATGTCCTTTGCTTCTGTCACTTTTGCCTGCTGTTTCCTGGAGCCCCGACCGTCCTCGTTCTCAGTGCACTCCTTTATTTTGGCAGCACGTCCTCTAATAGCTCACAAGGAAGTATGCATGAGAGGTAGATCTTTTCAAACTGTGTACATCTAAAAAACGTCTTCCCCTACCTCTGGCTAGATAATTTCTTAGGTGAAGAATCATTTTCCCTGGATCCGTGACCTTCATTTCAGCTTCTGAGAAGCGCCTATAAAATTTGGATTATTTTGCCTTTGGATGTGAACTCGTTTTTCCCCCTCTCTGGAAGATTTTAGGGTCTCCTCTTGTCACTGAAGTTTTAATATTTCAGCGACGTGCCTTCGTGAGGGTGTTTTCTCATGCGTTGTGTTGGGCATTTTGTGGTACTTTCAGTTTAGAAATTCAAGTATTTTGTAGTCCAGTTGTATACTTAAGGTTTGTGCATGTTGTTTATCTCACATACCAATAAAATATTTAAGAACAGGAAGGGCTCCTATTTGGAGCTCAAAGGTTGAGGTGTTAAGTGCTTTCTGTCTGTTCCCTCCCTCGTGCTTCTAGAGAAGAGAGGGCAAAGGTGATAGGAATGGTGGTGAGCAGGGAGTACGTGTTTGGGGAGAAATCTGTCTTGCCACCTTCACCTGGATTATTTAGGCCTATGGTTGCCCTGCAAGGGAGATGTTATCCTCATTTTACCAGTGAGAAAACCAAGACTCAGAACATTTAAGTAACTTCCCTAAGATCCCACTGATATCTCCAGTTCGAACTAATTTGGAGCCTTGCTGGCCCTAAAGCTCACATCCTCTTTTTGGGGGAGCGGGGGGGGGGGGTTCGGCTAAAAGTGTCCCAAATATTATAAAAATTATAAATCTAAAGATCAAAAGCACTGAATGAGCAGCCTAAGCACATAGTATAAACACAAAGAGAACTTCACCAGGGCACTTCATAATCCTATTTCTGAAAACTAGTGACAAGGAAAACATCTTTAAAAAGAGCCAGAGAGATAAAAACACCCCACTCAGAGGAACAAAAAAGCAAGAGACCCCTTATCAGAAACTAACCAGCGGAGGACAATGTAGTGACATCTTTTGTTTGTTTGTTTGTTTGTTTGTTTGTTTGTTTTTTAAAGCTTGTTCTTAACCCAAAGAAAGAACTGCTGCTGAAAGAAAATGTCTGTGTGCACCTACCTCAAAGCCTAGGCCTTGCTTTGCGTTTGCTCTCTGCAAACACAAGGATGGTGTGGAAGGAAGGATGGTGAATCTTCCAGGGAGAATCAAATGAAGACTTAAACTCTAATGCATTGTAGAAAAGAGGCCATAGGAAAGATTTTTAAGATTCTTTGTTTCTTCCCTAGAATTCAGCAAAGATTAGTGATCTACAGAACACACTTTTAGTTGACTGGAAGTACCTCATTCTCCCGCCATGTTGTTCTAAGATTATATTGTACTGACACTGGCCACAGCTCCACACCTTGGAGGCAAGTAGACAAAACCCTGTCGGATCCTTCTCCCTTTTAAAAACAGATTTCTTTTGGGGGGGACATGGACTTCCCCACGTAAGCATGAAGCATAAAAGACGACCCGCTGTGTCGTGGGTGAGTTACAGTCAGCCTAGTTGTGATCCTCCCAGCTGATTCCCAGTAGTCCGTTTCCTTTCCAATTTGATGGTGCGAAAGCAAACTAAACGTTTGGTTTCTCTAGTGATACAAAGGTCTCAGTGAAGTAGGACCACTCATTGCTGCATAGGAATCTGGAGAAAATGGAAGTAAATCTTTTCCTGATAAATAAAATCTTCTTCAATTGGATTCTCTTTCTATAATTAAATTTGCTAGCTTATGTTAACTAAGAAAATCAACAAGGTTTATACTTTGGAAAAAACGGAGAGCTTCATTTCTCACCAAGGGTAGCCGCCTGCTGGGCGCCATTCCAGCAGGTGGGGAGCAGGCCCCGAAGCCAGGCACTTGGGCTTCAGAGGGGCACACGGCAAGACTTACACAGAGCTGGGCGGTCAGATATACACAGTCAACACCCTGAAGTGCTACAGGGGAGTTGTGAATATTCATGAAGGGAAATCATACCCATGTCATTGTGTTTTATTTCTTCCATCCCATGGTGGCTGGGAGCTCAGTTGTAAGGTGTTTCTAGGGCTCCCCTGGGCCAAGACGAGCCCATTCAGTTAGCAGGGGGCTTAGGATTTTATTTCTAGCCCACACTTAGTATCCTGGTTTTGCAACATGATGATTAATATATTAAACCAATTAAACTTGAAGTAATTCTTCACATTTGTTTGCATAATTTTTTTTAGAAGCGCTCATATAGAATTAGTCTGAACCAAAAGTGTAATTTATTTGTCTGCAGTCTGAGTCACTGAGTTCCCTCAGGGTATCTTTGAAATTGTTCTTTTTTAAATCTCTATGGAGTATTTTTTTCCAAATATGTGATTTATTTAGAAACAGGCTACACAGCACAGAACCAAACCTATTCTATGTTTTCTATTTCAAAATTTAATCACATGACTTAAAAAATTGTAAAGCTCTGTACATTATATGCTTCCATAGCTCTGAATCGGTATGCAGTAGTGAAATTTTTACTGTGGTTGCTCTATGACAAAAATCAGAAAAGGCCACCTCTCTCGAGCACCTGTTGATATGGGACAGGCAGAGCGCGGTTTAAGGACAGCTGCCTTCGCAGCCCCTCCAGGTGCCCTAGACATCCCAGCACGACAGTGTTAGGCAACATTTTACCTAAAATCCAAAAGACGTTTTCTTCCTAAACATTTACTTAGCTTTTGGTCTTGAGTTGAAAAAGAATCAAAGATATACACAATTATTAGAACCCAGATAAAGACCACAATTTTTTTCCAGACTCTTTTAGAATATTTGTGCAACTCTACGGTGTATGGCCAAAGGGACACCAGAACTCAAGTTGCAGGTGGTTGCTAGCTTCCCATGTGATGGTGGGTGAGTTACTTACCCTCTCTAGGCCTCAGTTTCCTCATTTAGGAAGGGGGGGATGGCAGTTCCACTGGCAGTTCCACCTCACGAAGCTGCATTTGGGTCCGGTGGCTTAATGTCTGCAGAAGCCCATGCGGTGTCTGAGGCTGTCCTAACACAGACGTCACCCTGTGGCTTTCATTACTGATCTGAAACAGTGGTTTCCACACACAGGCCTGCAGAAGGACTCACTGCAGGGCAGAAAGAAAATATCAGAAAGCCTGAGTGTTTGCTCTTGACCTTTAATTTCTGTGTTTGCCTGTATTTGTGGATGTGAGATTTCACTGTTGATGGTAAATTGGTTTGCTCAGCATTGATGCCATTTCCTTCTACTTTGACTTCCTAGACTGCAGAGGCTAAAATGCTGAAAAACTGCACTTTCTAGATTCTTGTGGCTAAAGGTTCCAGAGGTGACTTAGCTTTTGTATTAACTATGGTCCTAGCTTCTGGAAACCTGATGCTTTCACACCTACCCTACATGCAGATACTGGACACATCTTGTTCTGGACACCCCAATAATATGTCCCCATCTCCCCACCTTGGCCTCCTGCTTCCCTCGTCACACCCCCCTCCTTTCTCAGGGGGCATCTTCCTCCCAGGGCCATGCTGTTCAAATACAAACCAATCCAGAGTCCACCCTCCCCCACCTACCTCCATGTTTGGTCCATCACACTCTGGAGCCAGGTACAAGTAGGGACAGCCCTGTGTCCCGGAGCCCGCCCAAGTTACTCTAACTGGCCAATCGTATGCCTGCTGGCCCTGCCTCACCAACTCCTTTCCTGGAAAACCACAGCAAAGGCTATGCCTGCCCTTCTCCTTCTGCCCTGACTGCCCCCCATGTCCCTGGGTGGCCATATGGCATGGCATGCTCCTTCCCCTTGGGGACTCTGATAATAAGCAATCTTTTCCACAACAGTCAGCTCCCAATATCTTACTCTAGTCTAGTTGGGTCTAAATTGAGTCTTTACTGTCATCCAAATTCAGACTTTTGCTGCCTCCCAGCTTCACCCGAAGGGGCTAAGAAACCCTGGGGGAAGGCGCCGGATGTGGACAGCCTCTTGGCCATTTCTCAGGCTCAGTCCTCCACTCTCTCCACTCCCAAGCCCTACTCTGAACACCAGAATGGGGAGCAGGGAGAGAGGACATGCCACAATGCACAGTGTCGCATCGGTGCCCTGTGCCTGGCACAGCCCACTTAGACTCTGCCTCTCCCAGCAGAACTGATCATGCCCGGCCACTTTCTCCACTGTCCGTGTGTCCCCCACAGCCTGGCCCTGCCACGGTTGGGCACAAACACAGCTCGCTCTTCACTCAGCCGCCATAGGCAGCTCCAGGCAGGCCTGGCCTGGAGACTTTCTCGGGCACTGGGGACTCTCTCCAAGCAGTTCTCTTCATGAGCCCCTGGCCTGCCCACATGTGGAGGAGAAGCACACCTCCTTCCACCAGGAGGGGAGGGCAAGCACACTGCCCCCCCACCTGGCTCTCTCCTTGGAAGTTCTCTCTCAGCCCCTCTGGTGCCCGCATAGGGCAGGCGGTGCAGATGTGAGAAATGCAGAGCAGAAGCAGACTGTCCTCCTGCGGACTGGCTCAGCTCAGAAGACCTTATCTGTGTGTGTGTGTGTGTGTGTGTGTGTGATTGCTTGACTTTGTTTTCATCTGTGCCTTTCTTTGGTTTTTTGGTTTCAGGACAAGAACTGAGAAAATAGGAAGAGTGGCATTTCAACATGCTGTTACATTAATCTCTCTCTCCTAGCTCAAAACACTTTCACGTTCTTTCACATGTGCATTTTTCTGATAATTCTTGGATGTATTAATGTACTAATATTATGTATTAATATATTTTACTAATATTACTCCTATTTTTCCACTAAGAAAAACAAGGCTAAAGGAACCTAAGTGGCTTGCTGGAGGTCATTTGAATTCAACATTTTTCCAACTTATTTTAATAATCTATACCTACAAAATAATGTTGCCCTTCCACATACTACTACATCTGTACAACACTATCATGATACGAACAAGATTGGCAACAGCTTATAAACGTTGCTCACAGGCATGGCATGTGGAGAATATCATGCCAGTTACGACATTTCTCACTCATTTGTAACCCACACCAGCTGATGGAACTATGACCTTAATCTGTAGATTACACTGGTCTGAATTCTATTCCAGAACTTAGCACAGGCAACACCGTCCCAGGTTTTCCCAGGGTCACCTCTGGTCCTGAGCGCCTGTGCTAGCCAAGCGGGCTCAGCCTGCAGGTGTCCTCCACTGGGAATCAGCCCTGCTGCCCCGCACCCACCTGCATGCGGGTGCCTGCCCCTCACCATTGCTAGTTATCAAGGAAACACCACTCTGGCAAGACCTTCGTTCCACAGCATATTTCCTGAAGATTTGTGGAGAGGGAGGGAATTCCACCAGAATAAAACCAGTGCTCCCATTTCTAAAGCCCTTTCTGCCTCTCCCGTACCAGGCACTGCCCACCAGCATCCCAGCCCCGGCCTCACTAGCCACCTGCTCTTCTCATCTTATCTCTTTGCCCATTTTGCCACATTCCTTCCCCTTCAGTAGTTGCCAGAAACTCAAAATTCTTCCCATTCTATTTTGTAGAGTGTCTTAGTCTGCTTGTGCTGCTATAATGAAATATCTTATCCTAGTAATTTATCAAGAGCATAAATATGTTGCTCACAGTTCTGGAGGCTAGGAAGTGCAAGATCAAGGTGCCAGCAGGTTTGGTGTCCAGCGAGGGCCCCGTCTCTGCTTCCAAGATGGTGTCTTCACTCTGCTTCCTCCGGAGGGCACAGGCACCTTGACCTCACATGGAAGCAAGGACAGAAGGACAAAAAAGCCTAACTAGTTCTCTCCAACTCTTTTATAAATTCCATCCATCCATGAGGGCAGAACCCTCATGGCCTAATCACCTCTAAGGGCCCCACCTCTTATTATTATAGAATACTGTTGAATTAGGGATTAAGTTTTAACATATATCTCAGAGGAAACACAAACATTCAAGCCATAGCATAGTTACTATTTAACTATTCCAGCTCTTGTGCCCAAATTGAGCTCTGAGCTCATGCCTGTAAGTCCAAAGTCAAAACACTCAGCTGAAATAAAGGGAGGCTCTTCCATTAATAGCACATTTTGTGTTTACTCTCTAACATGTCCTTTAAAAGAGTCCCTCTTCCTTAAAAAGTAGATGTGATTTGATTTCAAATAGCCATTTGTTTTCTTTTTTTATATATTTATGGAAGTAAGTCCAATGAAACCTCTACTTGGAAAGATTTTATATTTCAGTGGGTTATATTTATTTAAAGCTTTCTTAAATCAAGAAAGCAAAGATTTCCCATTATCCCTTACCCCAGCAATTAATATAAAATAGCCCAACTTGCTTAGCTACGTCACAAATACCTTTCTGTTTGTCAAGATGCTACAGCCAACATCTTATCAACTACTCTTAAAGGAGTTATGAAGATCTTAAGGAGAGATATAATAAATCCAAAAGTAAAAGAAAGCAAATTTCCTTTTCTGTCCATCCAAATTCATTGTGCTTGCAGGTCTCCCTCCTACCTTTGATTTGGGACCTGCCTATTGACTATGCCTCCATTTGTCACTCTCAGCAAATTTCTGTAACGCTTCCTGCTGGGCCATCTCCCCAAGCTGGAAACAGCTTCTCCAGTTTTGCTGGGAGTCAGCCTACTTCCCTAGAAGCCCCAGAATTGGCTACTCGAGTTTGCACATTTCAGGTGTCAATTTTCCCAATAGACACCAGAGTTCACTCATATGCAATGGTCATTCTACAGGGCAAATTTGTTTTCCTGGTTACTGTCAAGATAAAAAAAAAAAGAGTCAAAATCCTTGATAAGCCAATTAGCTAGCACATGGTCCCATCTTTCCCTTATTCTGGGTTTGGGTTGTTTTGTTTTGTTTTCTCATTCAAGTTGTCATTTCTGCCCTTAAGGCTAATATCCCAAGTTAGTGCCAAGTGATATATTAAAGTCATTTAAAAAATAATAATGGAATTGGAATGTTGCTTTTACAAAGGACAAAAGGGAGAAAGGAAGGGAGGGAGGGAGAAAGGAAGCAAGGAGGGAGGGAGGAAAGGAGGAAGGAAGGAAGGAAGGAAGGAAGGAAGGAAGGAAGGAAGGAAGGAAGGAAGGAAACTGGAAGGAAGGAGAGAAGAAAAGAAGGAAGGAGGGAAGGGAGGAAGGGAAGCTCACATTAAAGTAGTCCAGGCTTTGAGTATTTCACTAGCTCATTGTGCCAGAAACTGCAGTTTCCATCCAGGAAGCCTCTTCCCATCAGTGATCTATTTTGCTCTCAGGCTATCTTTGTGCAGAACCAAATCATTTAGGGGCGCCATAAAAGCTTATTGATTATCAATGGTCCATCTGTGCTAGGTACTTAGACAAGGAAGAAAAAGAAAAAATATAAATAAGCCCCAAATTTACTTCTACAGAAAGAAATGAACCAAACAGCAATATGGCACCTTCCCAGCCCAGATCATTTCTTGCACTCATTAAAATTCAAAAGCAGGGATCTGAGTGTGTCCTGGAAGAGATGTCCCAGAGTCTTGCTAATGGATCTTTCTAACCTTTTTCTCCACCTCCAGCACAGGTCCTCTGAGGAGAGAAGGGAAAGAAAGGCATATACTAGAGGAGGGCTTCTCAGCCTTGAGCCTGTGTAAGAATCACTTGAAGGGCTTTGTAACAAGACCTACCAAGCCCCACCCTGGAAGGTCTGGGTGAGCCCAGAGACTTGCATTTCTAACAAGGTCCTAAGTATTTTAGTCCAGTTTTGCTGCTTTAACAGAATACCATAGACTGGTGGCTTATAAGCAATAGAATTTATTCCCTGTGGTTCTAGAGGCTGGGAAGACCAAGATCAAGGTGCCAGCAGCACTGGTGTCTGGTGAGGGCTGCTCTCTGCTTCCAAGATGTCACCTTGTTCCTGCATCCTCTGGAGGGACATACACTGCATCCTCTCATGGCGGAAGGCGGAAGGGCGAGAGAGACTTCCTTTCAGTCCACAGCCCTTTTTATTATAAGGGTGCTAATCTCAGGGTGGAGCCCTCATGACTTAATCACCTCCCAAAGGCCATACCTCTTAATATGTTGCACTGGGGATTAAGTTTCATCAACAGGCATTCTGGAGGGGACACTGTCACTCAAACTACAGTACCAGGTGATGTCGGGTTTGCCGGTCCAGGGACTGCTCTTAAAAACCACTGGTTATGAGGCAGAAAACCATAATTATTAAGAACACAAACTCTGAAAGTCAGACCACCTCCAACCAGATCCTTGCTCCACCATTCACTAACTGCGTGACCCTGCACAATTACTTACTGATGCCTCAGTTTCCTCATCTTCACAATGGAATTAATAGTAATGGTCATACTTCATAGTACCACCTACTTCATAGGATTGTGAAGAGAACTGACTGCATGAATACGGATAATACACTTAGAACGATGGCAAGCACCATGTACAAGTGTTAGCTAATACTGATACACGTTTAAATGTTTTGTTGTTTGTTCCCTGACTCCTTTCTGGCTCTGAGTAAGCAAAGCTGCTCTGCTGAATGTCTTTTATGTGAACCCACATACTCCTCTCAGCTCTGCCAATTATTTTCTGAGTGACTAAGACAAGTCAATCATACCTGGGCCTCAGTTTCCTCATCCATAGGATAGCAAGGTTGGCCAGCTGATTTTCAACGTTCCTTTTTGAAATAAAGATGAAGTGACTTCTATAGCTCTCTGGAAGCCCTTTGAATGTTCCTGGGCTCTAGATCACTCCCAGTCACTCCTTTTTTAACAGTCAGAGGTAACAAGCTTGTGAGTGCCACACACCAGAAGAGTCCCACAGAGCGGATGGGGTGTTAGCTAGTCCAGAGCATCCCTGGCACATCTCTGTCTGGTATATTTCCCACCTCTCCCATGGTTATCATGGTTATGGAGGAAGGACAGGGAAGAGGGCTGAGCCAGATGCTGTGAAAGCACCTCACATATTCTGTAGGGCAGCCCTCTGGGGCAGGTGGCATTGCCCCATTTTCCAGATGAGGAAAACTGAGCTTAGGAAGGCTAAGTCACCTGCCCAAGGTTAGCCAGCTGGCATGGGATGAAGCTGAGATCTGAGCCTGTGAAAATGCTGAGGGGTAGAGAGATGGGCTGCAGACACCACCAGGACCAGAACCTCCCCACAAAGGGTCCAACAAAGCAGAGTGGGCAGGCAGGCTCCTAGGGCACTGCCAAGCCAGGTCTTGTGCCTGTTTGCCACAACCCTCCCAGGATCAACCACCAATGTTTTATTTTCTTCCAGGGTCTTGGGAGGGCATGTTCCTAGAACGCCCAGTGTGGCAGGAAGTCCCACAGGAAAAGCAGTGCCTTGGCATGCAGGGCCCTGAGTTCTAGTGACCCTGCTCGTCTCATGGAGGGCAGGCACGGAGGGTCCCTGGCTAACATCCCTTCCTGGTAAGGGGAGCCTCTGGGGCTGCCACTCATCTCTACCCCAAGCTTTTGCAGGGAAAAAGAGGCACTGGCCCCCCCTCCCTGTACTTCCTGCCACAAGGCTCTTTCCCAGCTCATGGTTGGGAAGCCTCACCACAGCGGTGCCCGCTAGGCCCTCGTTGCCCCTGCTGAGAGCCCTACCTGTGCCCCTGGACACCCTCCAGCACTCTTTGCTACCCCCGTGTGACTCTCCATCGGGAGCTGAGCTGTGCCCTCGCCCCAAATTCATATGTTGGAGCCCTAACCCTAAGAGGAAATTAAGATTAAACGAGCTCATTAGGGTGAACCCTCATCCAATCGGACCGGCACCCTTAGGAGGGGAGATAAGGACACAGGTGCGCACCAAGGTAGGACGCGCAGCAGGTCAGAGCTGCCGCGGGCTCGCACCTGTGAAGAGCCACGGCGCTCCAGCCGCCCCACAGCGAGGCTTTGTCTCTTAATAAAAGAGTAAATAAATAATCTTTTTAAAGAGAATATTTAGTTCCCACATCCCACAGACCATGTGCTGGGTGCTCAAGACCCAGGGACTGCATGAGACGTCCCTCTGTGCCCTTCCAGGGAATCTTCACCCTTTCTTCCTCCTTCCTCCTTCCAGAGAAGCCGCGCGGAGCCCGTGGCGTGGGCCGGCCCGCCCCGGCAGGCGGCGGCAGTGACTGCAGGTCAGGGCCCACAGCGGCTGACGAACGCGTTCTGGTCCTTTCTTGGGGAGTTTGTCAGTAAACTCAGACGGTGTGAGCGTTAGTTTCCACACACTGGGTGGCACAAACAACAGAAATGTATCTCACCGTCTGTAGGCTAGAACTCCAAGGTGAAGGGACTGGCGGAATAAGTCCCTTGGAGGGCTAGGAGAAGAATCTATTCTGGCTTCTACACGCTCCTTGGCGTGTAGAAGGCCATCTTCCTGTCCACACGGCGCTCTGCCTGTGTGCCCACCTCTGTCCAAATTGTCCCTTTGCATAAGGACACCAGTCATCTGGATCAGGGCCCACCCTAGTGACCTCACTGTAACTTGATTCTCTGTGAAGACCTTACCTCCAATGAGGCCAGACTCCGAGGCCCTGGGGTCAGCACTTCCACACACAGATTTGGAAGGACACAATCCAAGCCCTGATGCAGAGCCGCCAGCAGAGCCCCAGGCCGGGCACTGAAAGACAGCACCCGACAGCCTCTCCCAGACCCAGCGCCGCGCCCTGGGGCCTATCGAACTCGGCGTCTGACTCCCAGGTCTGGCCGGGGCCCTAGGAGTCCATATTTTTAAAACAAATGGCCAGAGGATGCTGGCGCTGACGTTGCTGGTACATGAGTCACACTG